CAAGTTATCAGCCTTTACTCTGCATGCCCTGCTGTCTGGGCCACATAGAGAGGAGACACTGTGAGTCTCCTCTGGGCAGCAATTGGAGTGATCAGCAAAGGGAATGAATGTAGATAGCCATGGGCCTACTAGGAGAAGTGAGCAGACCACTCAGAGCATTGGGGTGCTCTGCTAGGTTCCAGGTTACCCAGGATAGACACTGAATTTGGTATGGAGAGAGAAACGGCAGTTGTAGTGGGTCTGGGAGAAACTATGTTGGATCTAGAGTTTGGGAGTTGGCAGGTATTGGGGTTGGGAACCTTAGGTGTTCTAGATAGCTTCAGCTAGCTGGCTACAGTCAAGTAGGTAGAGAGCTTTGGAGGGGTGATGCTATACCATAGGAGACAGAGGCAAGGATGGACCAGATATTCCATACCCTCTAACTATATGCTTAGCAGGAGCAGTTCACGGGATAGTGCGGCCACCATTGAACGCTACAGAAAAAGTAGCTAACCACTCTTAGGAGGAGTAGTTAGCTTCCACTGTAGAAAAAACAGACGAGAAAATAGCTATTGTTACTGATTGGGTGCTGGGGGAACAGGGCAGAGCTTACTGAAAAGGTGGGGAGGGAGCCCTGAGGCTCACTGAGGAAGAATCTTTGTGGTAGATCACACAGACAATGCCCTGTGAGAGGAACATGTCAGGGGCTAGAGATGAAATGAGAGAGCCCAAGGCAGGCCCTTGGTTGGGGTTACAGGTCTTCTTCTTTGGGAGATGCAGCTAGTAATTCCCTTGCATTGGAAACCATTGACTAGCTGCCACGTGAAGGAGAGACTGTGAGGTAACATAAGGGTAGCAAGGAGACTACATAAAAGTTCCTGCAGCGTCCAGCTTGAACCTGGTGTTGTGGCACTGGTGGTGATGTGTGTGTGTGTGAAGTGGGAGATTCTGGATGTCACTTGAAGGGAGGGAGTGGTGGGATTGTCAAGGGCTAAGGACATGTAAGGTAATGAGATAGGACTCAGACAGCCGCATTTGGAGCTGAGAGAGCAAACAAAAGCTGTTGGTAGGTAGGAACACCTGGGCTGAAGGAAGCGGCTCCTGAATATTAGGGAAGGGTCTAGGTAAAAGTGGCTAAGAAGGAGTTCAGGGGAGGTGGAAGGAGCACCAAGTACTTCACTTGGTTAGGGATGGCATTACAAAAAAAGTATCAAAAGTCTTCTTGGGATGGGTTTCACAAGTGGGGCAGCAGCTGAATGGGACTGTGGAAGTGGGGTGGGAACAAGTAAATCATGGTCAATAGGCTAGTGAGGACAGCACCTCAACCAGGTGCTGAGAAGCAATTGGAGACTCCCCTGCCAGACCAACTTGATTCCCTTGTTTCTCCCAGAAGCCTCAGTCATAGTCCAAGCTTTATCTTTCCTAGAGACATCTTTTATGTAAAATTATCTTGTAGAGCTGGATCTAGTGGTACATGCCTGTCATTGCAGCACTGGGCAGTGCTGAACAGGAGATCTGGAGTTTGAAACCAGCCTGGTCTATATGGTGAAACCCTGTCTCAAACAAACAAATAATGCCTTATCCTACAGGTAAATGGATTGTAAATTAAAGTTCAATGATTTCCACCCCCAGTCAGCACCCAGGCCAGTTTCATCACTTACAAGAATACTTGAAGTCAGGTAGGGAAATGACAGGGTCTGACTCAGTGCCCAGAAAGCCTGGAAGTATCATCTGGACATGGGACATTGCAGGCCACCATAGGGTCATCAGACCCTTAACCAGAAGATGTGTGTCCGCCACAGAGGCATGGTGGAGGCCCCAGACAAACAGGTCATCAATCTTCAGGCAGCACATGGAGGCTGTAGTGGAGGAGGAGGAGAACTCTGGTGAGATGTTTTGGGGTTGGTCCTATTGGACAAGCTGACAGTGAAGTGTTTAGAGAAGATGGGCCAGGAGCTGGCGAGGATGGGAGAGTGAGAGTTCCAGTGTTAGAGAACAGAGACACCTGGGAGCAGTGGGAGTGGGCTAGGAAACGGGGCCTGGCTAGATGTGGTACTCAAAGCATTGACGGCATCTAGGTGGTCTGATGTGCCTTGAGGGTGTTGAAGGTCCTGGGAAAGAGTAGAGGTAGAGGATCTTTGGGAGTAGCGCTCTGAGAAACCCAGGCATGAGGCTGAAGAGAGGCCAGGGCAGTCTGTGAGCTGGGGCATAGCATGGGCTCAACCCAGCCTTGGCTGCAGGTTAGCCAGAGACACCAAACTCTGGGTCTGAAAGAAGAAATCCCAAGGTCTTGGAGATACCTTCAGGCACCTGGCACAAGCCGTGCCTTCCAGAACAGGCCACTCTTCTGGGCAGTTGCTGCTTTGCCTGGACTACTCTCCCAGGAGGTACCTGTGCCCTGCAGCCTTTAGGTAGCTGAGAATACTCCCGGTCATAAGATCAACAGCAAACCAGTTTGTTCTAGCCCTAGATTTCAATGCAGGGAAGAAAGGAGCTGGAGAAAAAGCTGACTCACTCTCAAATGTTGCCCTCAAGATGACTCAAAACAGTGGAGTGGGTGGCCCTCTGTATGCATGTGATCCCCAGGTGTTGGTACATTGGGCACTCTGTGCCTGGATCTGGCAGCAGGAGGAAGGCAGAGCAGCAGTAGCTGCAAGAGGCAAGGACAGCATACGAGGGTTGCCTTGTGGCCAGGGCTTCTCTCTTCAGGGAAAGACTTTGGAGCTGAGCCAGGTGCAGTTGAGACCCATGAATAGGCCTGGCCATGTGAAGTCCAGTTGAGGAGAATGTTATGGCCAGTCACCTGGGCATTGCTGGAAGACTTAACAAAGTCAAGGGCAACAATGTGAAGCTCATTCTCTCTTTTGTGACATAATGGTATGGCTGACAGCTGGAGTTAGGTGACGTCCCCCCGCACCAACATTCCAGTCTTGCCCTAGAAAAGCTAATTAATGAAGCAATACTGGCATTAGATACAAAAGGTGAATTATTTTCTCCTCATTAAAATTGGTGATGGTTTTCAATTTCTATGTTAACCCTATATAAGCAACCAGGCCTGAGGTATGGCTAGCCATCCACAGTCTGACAGAAAAAAATCCTAACTGGACCTCAAATGTGCATTTAGAAAACCCCAGTTCTCTAGAGCCTTTGGCTCACTTCTTTGCATTCCATAAACTGTGAGGTTTGCCTCATTTAAAGTGATTTAGGAGCACTACGCTTGACCTGGTTGAATTTTCAGGCCTACAGTCCTGACTGGAGGCCTGAAAGGGACTCATTGTAGCCCAGATGATTCATTGTCAACTGTTCCTATAAAGGACCAACAAGTAAACATATTTAGCTTTTCAGGCCAGGTCTCTGTTACAACTGCACAACCCTGCCCTTGTAGTGTGAAAGCAGCCACAGACGGGATGCAGATGAATGGGCATGGCAGCTCGCCAATAAACTTTATTTACAAAACCAGAAGAGGTCCAGGGTTCGTTTACCTTTTGGCCAGAGTTTACAGATACATTACCTAAACCATGAAAACCAAATCCTAGCTCCTTGAAATGCCGTAGAATGTCTCACACAGGGAGAAAATGACTGACGCTGGGAAGCACAGTTCTCCTCCTGAGGAACCCACAGTCCTTCCACTAGCCTCTACACTACCTGGAGGCCAGCAGGGCTGGCTTTGTCATTGTAGTGGGACCAGCTGATGTGGGCGGCAGTGCTGACACTGGCTTGTGTGAGGTCTAGCAGAGGGCTATTCATTGGCCTCTGGTTTTAGAAGCAGGAAGGAGCCCAGCATCTGGGGCCAGGGAAACATCAGAGAGGCAGCTGTTCTGTGGCTTGAAAGGATGAGACTGGAGTCCGTGTATGAGTGGCCGTGGAAAAGCCAGAGAAGGGAGAGGCTGATTCTCAGGCAAGTTCTAAAGCCTTGTCCTACAAGAGATGCAGGAGACTGGAGGGGATGCCAGCTTGGCTCCGAGCACATGGCCACAGTGGTGGGGAGGGCCAAGTATTGTGGGAAGCACTTCCTTGCAGAGTGTAATGCTGATGTGAACTGAAAACAGCAGTGGGGTGGACAAGGAGCATTGGCAAAGCACAGGGCTGTCTGAACAGAAGCTCAGTGAGGAGAAAGAGGAGAGAGGTGGTTTGGGGAAGAAGGGCCAGAAAGGTAGATCGCAAAAGACTGCTGAAAGCACCAAGTATCTAATGAGACCCGATGAGACACATGTAACTAGGACCAAGAGGATAACTGATAGACCAAGACAGCTGCATAGGAACAGGCTTGGTACGTGCAAATTCAAGTGTGGCCATTTGCAGTCTTGGCCTCCAGGTAAGGGTCAGTGGACTCTAGGGCCCAGAGCTCTACCATATCCCTAGATAGCTTCCAGCACTGTACAGAGATATGAACAGGGAGGAAGAGTAACCGGGACAGTCCAGAGCTTTGGGACAAAGGAGAAGCAGAGGAAGCACAGCTGCTCAAATGAAAGAGGGCCAGGCAGGAACAACAATGTCAGGGAGGCTTGAGGAGTTTTCAAAAATGGGAGTTCAAGTGTATGGTGTGCCCCTTAGGAAGGACTAAGATGAGTGTGCAGAAGTGGCCACTGGCACACTCTTTGGAGAATCTTAGTATATTTGTCTTCTACCAAATTGGAGTTCAAATTGAGCAAAGACCTCAGGTGCCACCTAAGCCATTCCTGTTCTCAGGGCAAGGACCAGGAAGGTAGCACGCATCAGCCTATTGTTCCAAGATATCTACCCATGTCAGAATGTTTTCAACACCAAGGCCCAGACCTGTAAACCCTTGCCACAGTCCAGCAAAGCAACTCCATTCCCTACAAGTCCCCCAGTGTGTGAACATTCATCATGCAATGTGCCAGCCTCTGGATGTGGGCACAACTTTCCAGCACCAGCTACCCATTGACTGTCTCCTCTCCTTTCCTCTCCCTCCCTTCTCCTTCCCCTCTCCTCTCCCTTCTCTGCCCTTCCTCACCCTTTCCATCTCCCATGTGGGTTCTGCCCCTCCCCCTTGACTTCAGATCCGGGTGGTGAAAGCATTCCGTAGCTCACTTTATGAAGGCCTTGAGAAACCGGAATCCAAGAGCTGCATCCATAACTTCATGGCAACGCCTGAGTTTCTGATCAATGACTACACCCACAACATCCCGCTCATCGACGACACAGATGTGGATGAGAACGAAGAGCGTCTGAGGGCCCCACCTCCCTCACCCCCTAACCAGAACAACAACGCCATAGACAGCGGCATCTACCTGACCATGCATGCCACCAAGTCAGCTACCTCTTCAGCATTCTCTTCCAGGCCCGGGAGCCCACTCCACAGCATGGAGACGTCCCTCTAACCAGAACTTCTCTTATCACACATGTATACACACACATGCACACACATACACACATACACGCAGTCACACATGGACACACATGTGCATGTACACACAGAGAGGGGAGTCGTGCACCTGCCAAAAAGAGAAAACCTGCTAAAGAGGCTAAAGACTTTTCTTATGTGGTATTTGCAAGAAGCCAATTGCATTCAATAAGGGCACAACCCACTAGGCTTCTCACCAGACTTCCAGGAGGTGGAGGAAGAAGGAAAAAGGAGGAGAGGAAGTTCTTCACCCAACGTGAAGGAAAAAAAGGAGAGCATAAGACAAGATGCGCTTTCCACCTTTTTTTCTACTGATGCTTCTTTTTTAACAAACACTAGTTCCGCCATGTTTGCAGCATTTGAGCTGTGCAGCGTGGTAGGGGCTAGCTGAGCTTGTTTGAAGCTTTGCTGCACCCATATTTAAAAAAAAAAAAAAAAGTATACCAAAACCAAGGAGGTCATTGTGCAGACAGGCCACCGGAGGGAGCCACCTGCAAAGGTACCTTCTACTGAAGCACACTAGACCCATCTGCAGACAGCATGTGTGTGTCTATATGTATGTGTGTCTGTATGCATATACATATATATGGCAAATGCATATTTAAAGAATAAGGAACTATTTATCGGCATGATATTTCCATTCCTCTCACCAGGCCTTCTTTTGAAGTTTCATTTTTTGGATGTAGCAAGGCTCTTTTCAGGGAATGAGACTGCAAGAACATCCTCTCGGTACTGGACTTCCCTCCCCAAACCCCTGACCTGAGGATCTCCATGCCTGACCCTGCCGAGATTCCAGAGGAGGCAGTCTGGGGAGCGTTGTGCAAGACCTAGAGGCCTTGCACTTAGAACCTTTGCACTTTGAGACCTCTGCTTGTAGAGGAAAAAGACTTTTCAATGGCATTTTAAAAAAAAGAAAAATACCAAAGTATTGATGACAGTGGTCCCCTCCAGTACAAAGCAAATCAAGTTTTGGTTTTGGCTTCCTTCCACTTCATTTCCAACCCCTTCATTTTTGCTGGTGGCTTTCTTTGTCCAACTTTGAAAGCATGAAGAAGCCTAGGAGTAGGGTGATAGAGCAGAGACAGACAGCAGGCCTAACCTCTACGGAGGCCACCTGAGGAAGAAGGGTCATCAAAATCAAGATGCCAACTGTGAGGACAGTCCAGGTTCATCTCTGTCATTCCTCTCGATTTACACTTTGTGCTTTGGCAAATGGCAGGGACCACCTCTGCCAGGGCATGGGCGTGCTACCCACCAAAGCATGCATCCAATCCCGGTCTTCTTGCCCATGGGGTAAATACAACCCAGAGGGCAACACTATAGAAACATGGCCTCTTGGAAAAATGGCCTCCATCACTGTTGCCATTGTTTTTTTCTGGCTGGGCCTATGGGGGCTAGGCACAGGGTTAGCAGGGCTTGGTCCCACCTAGGCAGACAAGGCTAAAGCAAGGTCTGGGCTCCAGGAGCCTGCCCCATCACTGTAGTCCCCCACTGTGCCAAGCCTGCTTTCCTAGAAAGAGCGCCAGCCCGGGGGAAGAAGGCAGAGGAGAGGGGTCTAATGCCTGCTGCCCTGCAGGGAAAACCCACGCTGATGAGTCTCTTCCTAGTGGTAACCTGCCCCTTCCTTGTGCTCTTCGGCCCTGAATCCGGACACCCACAATGACATCCTGCCCTTGAAGGTCCTTCACCTTGTGAACTCATGGCTTCCTGAACTTCTCAGGAAGATGTCTAGAATCTCACTCCACTCCCACACATGCCTGTCACTTGGGCCTGAGGTTTTGTGCCAGGAGACAGATGTAAGCTTAGAGATGGAGGGTAAGGACAGGCACCCTCAGGAGCTGCATTTGCTCCACTCCCATCCCACGCCACCCCACAGAAAGCTTGTCTCAGCTCCTGGGCATCCACACAAAGTCAAATGAAAATGTGCTTTGTCCTCACCGGTCACACCAATGCCATGTCACCCCTGAGCAGGAGTAGCCACATCTCGGGCAAAAGAATTTCAGTTACAAGAGAAACTCCACTTTAAAATGCCAGCTACAGATCACTTAAAGCCATCCCTTTTTTATAAAGGGCATATTGAGAATGTTTCCCATTTGTAAATTGTTCCCTGATGTCCTCGTTTAAACCACCACAACAAAAAGGCAACTTGGCTTGCTGAGGGTCTTTGTGTTCTTCAACAAGAAATCGAAATGTGTATTGCGGTTGAAGTGGGTCAGCTGTGTCCAGCTATGCTCATGAGCTTCTTGCCATCCTCTGTTATAGACACACAGATAGAGCAAATGGCCACTATATATTTAAAAGCCAACCCTCAATGCTGCTGTCTAAAGTTGCCTGATGTCAGTGTCGACTGTGTGATACCCAGGCTGCCTTTGTGCTGAGCTGTGGGGTTCATCCGTTCTGGGTCTTGTACAATCTTCAGGCCGAAGAGACCTATCTCACTGGAAGCTTCTCTTTATAAAGCATTATACTATATGGAATGGCTTGGTCAACTGTGTTCAGTTCATAAATATGTTTTACATTTTTATCTGCCTGTTATAAAAATGAACAAAATATCTTCATGAGAAAGACCACAGATGTATAATAAATTAAAGTCTGTAGTTGAATTTCATAATTTAAAGAATAGACCAAAATTTCTGTGTATAAAAGAAAATGAAAGGCTCCTACAATCTTGGTCTGGGTCACATGTGTGATTTATTATTTGTCAACTTCCCATGTGGAACCAAACAAAGGTACCTGTATGTCACTGAGCCAAGGTGGGAGAAGCCACAGGCATGGCCTCTCTTGTGGACTGCTGCCCTGCTGACTTCTATGGCAAGAAGGAACACTGGCTCCGTGGGCAAAAGGTGCCCCACCTGTGGCGCCTTCCACTGACTGATTTCACCAGGTAAAGCCTGCTGTGACTATCCAGGTCAGTGTCCTTGGATGGGTCAATGGGAGAATTCAGAACTTTTTCACCTTTCCAAACTTTAACTCCATGCCATTTCCCTCCAACTTTCCACTCCTCCTCCCCAGTCCCCTCTTCTATTGTCTGTCGGCAATGCTTGGACTACTCCCATCTTTTAGGCATTGTGAATAATACTACTGTGAACCTGCGTCCACAAATTGCTTTTTGAGATCCTGGTTTCCTTTGGGAAGTAATATATACCCAGCCACAAGATTGCGGAATCTCATGGTAATTGTTTTTAGTGTGTGTATACATGTGCACAAGTGTGTGCATGTGTGTAAGGGTGTGAGTGGCCACAAGTGTGTGTGTACATGCATGTATTTGTGTAAGGTGGAGACCAAAGGAGAATCTCCAGTATCATTCCTCAGGTACTGCTCATCCTGTTTTCTGTGACGGGATCTCTCGTTGGTCTAGAACTCACCAATTAGGCTAGTCTGGCTGGCCAACAAACCCCAGGGACCCTCCTGTCTCTACTTTCTTACTACTGGGATTATAAGCACCCAGGTTTTTTTTTAAAACAAGGATTATGGAGAACAAACTCAGGTCCCCATTCTTGCAAGGCAAGATCTTTACCAACTGAGCCAGTTCATCAGCCCATGTTTAACTTTTGAAGGTCAGACTTTTTATCCAGCATCTGCGCACTTTACATCCTCATCACTAGCGTACCTGTGTTCTCATCATTGACTTCCTGTTTGTCCTAAAGCCTCAAAAGCAAAGCCCATTTCATATTTACTAACTCTTAGTGCCTCTCTCCTATCATCTCCAGATCCCTCTGAATGCCTTTGTGTAGACATCCATGCTCTGTGGCACTCCCTTTGAGCCCACAAGAGCCCCCAGTTCTGTGGTTGGGCCTTACAAATGAACACCATGGTCACAATACTATGAGTCCCTTCCACAGACTCTGCACATTGCCCTCAGCTTATCTTCATGAGATTTCTTTTATTTTCTTTAAAGTTTATTTCTATTGATGTGGATAGATATGTGTATGTGCATGTGTGTGCAATGTCTGTGGGGGCCAGAAGAAGTCATCAGATCCCCTGGAGCTGGAGTTAACAGGCAGTTGGGAACTTCAGTCTGGTCCTCTGGAGGAGCAGCAAGTTCTCTCAACCACTGAACCATCTCTCGGGTCTACCTCATGGTATTTCTATTTATCTGGTGCACACAGTGTCCTTTTAGATTTGTTAGCACCAGAGGACAGTTTTCCAGGGCAAGAGCCAACAAGAAGTAGCCTGTTTCCAAAGATCCCTTAAGCCTCTGCTTCCATAGTGAAAGGCAAGCAGCACAGCTTGAGTCAGAAGACTAAGAAAGTCTAGACAAGACATATTCCCTATCAACACTACTGGCTCCACATGAAGAGATAAGACGTGGTGTTGCCCATAAAGCTCCTCAGTCAAATGACTGGGAGCAACAACACATCACAGCAGTGGGGCCTGGGGAATTAGGGAAAGGTCTGTGTGTCTTGAAGCTGTTTTGGCAGACTTCCCCACACTGGTCAAGAAAAAAAAAAAACAACAACAACAAGAGAAATGTAGCCTCTCACAGTTCTAGATGCCCAAAGTCCAAAATCAAGACAATAGCAAGGCCAACATCCCTCCGAGGATCCTGAGAATGTGTTCCAGACCTTTCTTTTATTTTCTGGTGCTACCCATCTAGGTATTATTTGACTGGTAGACCCTTCCTTCTACCTCTGCCTGTTGTCATACAGCTCTGTCGTGTGCATATCTGCCTATGTCTCTTCTCTTCCAAGGGTAGTAGTTAGTGGAACTCACTACAGTGGCCTCACTGAGTTTGATTACAAATGCGAAAAGCTCTTTCTAAATAAGGCTACCCTTACAGATTTCAGGGTGAGAACATGGTCAGATCTTTTGAGAAACACAACTCAGAGCACCATAGTCAGGAAGAAAGGGGCCAAGCGATTCCCAGGACCTGGTTGCCCTCCTCCTCATTCCATTGGGTTCATGGGCTAACTGAGACTCAGCCACTTATCACTATGCTGTAAGATATGTTCTGTACCACAAGATCCTGGAAGCTTCAGGCTCTAGAATATCTTATCTCAGTCTGTCATTGCTGACCCTTTAAACCTAAAATAAAGGAGATGGAAGGCTGAAATTCTTTAATCTCCACCATTTTGTTTACAAAAGCCTTCATAACAAGAAGTAAAAAAATAAAATCCAAAAGACCCAGAGTACAACAACGTCTTTACTTTTATGATGCCTAGAAACAAGGCCTTATCCTTGTCCCACAGGCCAAGTGACAAGCACTGAGCTGATAGGCCCAGAAAGCAGCACACCATTAACCCCAAGTAAGGCCGGCAAGAGTCCTGGGCTATGTGACAGGCACACAGCGCATGGGGATTCTAAAATAGCAGTCACAATCAGGTTCTCTGGTACAACCAGCTTATTCTACAAAGTAGAAACTGAGTCACAGGGAGAAAGAGAGGATGATAATCAGCGAGAAAGCAAGTATCAGGTTTCTAGGTGCTATGCACTGTGTGGGGAACTTTCACAGGGAGGGGTGCCTGTCCTAATCCCCGGGGAGTTTTATCAACTATCTGTCCCATTCTATGCTCTGCAGAGGCCCTGAGAAGGGGAGTGGGGCAACCTGAAGTAGACGTGGGGAGACAGGGCCCTCCTTAGGCTTTGAAAAATCCCACTGCTAGTCCAAAGGGAGGGTTCTGCCTTCTGAGAGCTGAGAGAACACCTTTTTGTAGGTCAGGGGAACTCAAAGGACTGAGATGGTACAGGGCTGAGGTGTAACTTGGTGATAGACCACTTGCCCTGGCTTCTTGCCTAAGCACACCAAGAAACAAGGAAATGTGAGCACCCAGGGACCATTACTGGAGGTTGAAGCCTGGGGCAGGGGCCTCAAAAGCCCATTGGGGAAGATAAAAGAAGCCAAAAGTGGAGCATCTGTCTTGAAAGTCGGGTCAAGTATGGCTAGCACAGGGGTCAGGGCAGTCAATGCTAAAATCAGCACAGACAACGTACTTGAAGACAGCAGAATGTCAGCCCACACACCATGCTCAGAGTCCTTGCCATAGGCCCTGAGTCGGCCACAGGTCTTCTCCAGGCATGTCAGCCACACTCTTGGGATAGTGGGACTCAGAGACAGATCCATTTGTACAACGTCACAACCATTCATTCAGGTTAAAGGCTAAGAAGGAAAGATAAGAAAGCAGGAGACGCAGAGTGGATGACAGAGCAAGTCTCCTTTAAGCAGCCTTTGAGGAGCAGAGGCCTACAAGGAGTGGACAGAGGTTCAGGGCAGCTGATAGAGGTGGATGCACACCCCTCCCTCCCATTTCCTGGACTATTTGGAAGGGTGGCCTATACTTCCCAAAGCAGGTCAATGGTGGCTCAGAATAGGTGGTGAGAGGACCTAGGGGATTTTTGTCAGGTCCACCACTGTGAGCCCTCCCAGATGGAATGTTGCCTCTTGGAGATTGTCTTCCACTTGCCTCTTGGAGATTCTCTCCACACTAGATATGGTGCGAAGAGGCCATACTTTTGTATTCAGAAGCATCCAGAGGTCATTTGACCAGCTGTGTAATGAACAAGACACTCGGGCAGGTTACTAAGAGGAGCTCATAGTCACGAAGTGTCCAAGAGTATCCAGTCCCACATACCTGTTCTGGTCACTTGTCATTCCTGAGACCTGGATTTCCTCCCATGCAAGTGTTCAGTGAAGAGATAATGAAGCTGCCACCTATGTATTCGAGAAGCCAGGACCCAGGCACATACTGGACCTGTGAGGCATTGAAGCCTATCCCAGCCCGGGACAGCCACCTTCTTCCTCTCTTGTGCCTTTCACTGCCACCCCATGGGCCTTCCTCCCAGAAGTGAGGCAAGTTTTGTCAAGTTGCTGTGTGGTTCTGTCCCCCAGCTGACAAAGGAATTGGTACACAGCAGCTGCTTAGTAAATGCTTCATGATTGCTGGTCTCAAACGTTTACAGTGAGAACAGCTCAAATGGGAGCCTGTAATGAGTTTCTCATTAGCACTCACAGGAGAACTTTAGGATATGGAAGCCAGCTCACTGGGAGAGACTGGCTTACCAGAAAAAGGGCTGTACCGTTTTCTTGGCTTCCTCACCCTGGGGATAGATAACACATATACTTTGTAAAGTCAAGAAATTCTTGCCAAACTGTGCCTAGTATGTGACCACTCTCTTTACTCACCAGGAACAAGTAAGGCCCAAGTGTTGTGCCTTCTTGCTTGAAGCTCCATGAGCAACTGCTGGCGTTACCCCAATCTGCATACCTGTAGGTGCCAGAGTCCTTTCCAGTGGGAACAACTTACCATATGAGGGGAAGGGGCTGCCGTGTGCTGGGTGCAGATCATGACCAGCAAGAGGTTCAAGGAGCCCACAGCCAGCTGTCATTGCTCCTATACTCAGAGTCAGACTTTCTGAAAGGGTAAGAATCAGAGGGGTGCCATCGGGTAGAATGCCCCTGGACTCTGGCTCTACATTGTCTTGACACACAAACCCCAAGAACACTGGGAATTGTGGTGCAAAGATGGAGACCTCTGTTGATTCACATCAATTTTTTCTCTTTAGCTTTTCGAGACAGGGTTTCTCTGTGTAACAGTCGTGGCTCTCCTAGAACTAGCTTGGTAGACCAGGCTGGCCTTAAACTCAGAAATCTGCCTGCCTCTGCCCCTCGAGTGCTGGGATTAAAGGCGTGCGCCACCACCACCACCTGGTCTGATTCACATTATTTTTGTTAT